CTTCCGATCTCAGGGTTTAGGGTTTAGGGTTCAGGGTTAGGGTTCAGGGTTTAGGGTTCAGGGTTTAGGGTTCAGGGTTTAGGGTTCAGGGTTTAGGATTTTCTTACCACGGTTTTGGTTCAAAGCGGTTCATAGGGGTCCAGAGTTGAAGGTTTAAACTACAAGGGTTCACGGGCGTTAGGGGTCAAAAAGGGGATTCTTGGTGGTTCAGACAGGGGTGTGAAGCTTTGTAAGGGTTTTCGGATTTATGAAAAGGCCGAAGTAGACATCTTGTGCTGTACTCGGCAGAGGCCTCATGTTTGTGCGTAGGTAAGGAAGTGCCAGGCAGTGAGGAAGGACTCGAGGCCTCAACTTCCCCGAACCTGGGGGCACACCTTTTAGATCCCAAACTCTAGCCGGCTGAAACCTGCGCCGACCCTGGAGAAGAAGCCTCAACCCAGTACCTGGTCAGCCCTGAGCCATGAACCTCAAAGCCCACACCTGGAGTAAACCCTGCCGAAGATGCTGCAGAGGTCTGCGTGCAGCAAGGTGACAACGCTTCGGCACTGCAGGACGCCACTCCTGATCCGTCAGGTTGGGGTTGGCTCATTCCAGTAGCATTGAGGACGCTGTTCCTACACACCCCTGCATGGGTCTAGCATCCTGGCACGGGGGTTTCGGCGTTCATGCCGGATTTCTGGAGTGAAACGCCAAACCCTGTTTGAGCCTCATGACCTCTGAGTATCTGAACTCATATAGCACCCCTCGAATCCCTCGCTTTGTTGAAACACTGAGCCCTCAAACTTAAACCCCAACATCACAAGCAGCCTGAGACTGTTCGGAAAGCCAAGCCAGCCAAGCCTCAGAGCTTTCACACCCAGGGACGATTGGCCAGATTGCACTAATTCGGCTTGAGGGTTTGAGGCGTCCGGATAGTACAGATAGAATCATACACCCTTTCTCCCGAGCCCTTGACGTCAACCATCGGCAAGTCTTTTCCCTAGACCCCCTAAAACGCCTTTTCATAAACGTGGTATAAGCCATCTATTCTCTTAAACCTTATGCCGTGATGCCCCGAAGCAAACGGAGACGAGCCTCCGAGAGAAAGGCAGCGCGCCAAGCGGTGGCCGTGCTCTCCCGGGCGCGTCTGGCGCGGGAGGAAGCAGAGGCCGGCTCTCACAGTTTTTGTGCTTTCTTTCTCTTTTGGACCTTTAGGCAAGGGCTAAGTGCTTACCATTATACTGCCATTACGACGACGGGTTGCTGCTGCTGCTGCTGCTGCTGCCTCTGCTGCCGTTGTTATTACGACGACAAGGAAGGCTACGACGACTCCGACTGTCGGTGCTACAGCTGCTACTGCTTTTTAGTGCTGGATGCTGCCAGAACATCAGCAACAGCTTCATGAGAGGAGCGAGTAGCTGTCATGTCATTGCCACGAACAGCGCTACTAAAACAAAGCAGATTAAAGCCACGACTGCTAATATCGGTGATGATGGCGAGGGGGAAGATGATGCTAGGGATGATGTTTGTAATCTGGACGGGGTTTGGACTGTTGAAACCATGGGTGTGTTTTGTTTTTCGATGGCGGTCGTTAGCCAATAGTACTAGTATGAGCCTTGGTCCTATATGACTAGTTGAGTTGGGGATGATGTTGATGATACTGAATGTTCGCACTGTCACTGCTACTGTTACGGTGAGTGTTTTTCGTCTCCTCCGTCTTTTTGTTGCTGCTCCGATGATATCTAGCCCTCTTATGATCGCGGTCCGATGAAATCTAGCCCTCTTATGATCGCGGTTGTGGCGAATGCTTGTGGCGGTTTTGGGCGGCTCTGGGTGACAGGCGCTTCACCTGATTGCCCGCGTGTACGCCATCCGTCGAGAAGCTCGTGAGGCATTCCTGCATGTATTTGCGGGTGCTTAGTAGTGGGGGGTCCCTCATTTTAGGCGTTCCCATCAGCATGCCGTCGAAGTTTTGTTTCTCTTAGAATTCGGACTTGCATCGCAACCTCTGGGCAAGCGGCTCCCGCAGTATGCTGAGCCTGGCTCCCAACTCCGAACCGAAACCGCTCTAAACCCTGATAACGAAAAACTAGACCATGGCCCCTACACCCCGAGCACGAAACTGCAAACGGTGGCAGGCAGTGTCATCGGCAGCTCAAGCACTGAGCCTGCTACGCAGGCAGATGCCTTCAGCAGCGCTGTTTAGGGGCAGAAGTCGTCGGGTCTGTCTGCTCTTGTGTTCAGGTCCTCCTACCCTACAAACATCTACAAAGCCCACCTTGTGAGGATCCGTAAACCCGGTTTGGAGTGTAGGGTGCAACCTTACACCCCTTTAATCCCTACGCCCCAGAAAAACCCACGTGTAGACGCCTGATGCAAACCCCTTCCCACACTAAGGCTTATCATGGGGATTTTTATATTAGGCCCTTAACATGAGGGTGTGTATTTGTCAGGGGTCTGCACCAAAACTCTGGTGAGGCTTGTTGGGGTTTTGAGGTTGAACTCCTCCTCCGGAGCCCAGAACAGTAAAGCCCACATCCCCTCAACCCTGAACCCTAAGCGCCTGAACCCTAAACCCTGAACCCGAAGCCCTAACCCCGAAGCCCTAAACCCCAAGCCCTAAACCCGAAGCCCTGAACCCGAAGCCCTAAACCCTAAACCCCAAACCCCCAACCCCAGACCCGAAGCCCTAAACCCGAAGCCCCCAAGGCGTCCCTTAGCTCCAGGCCGGGAGACGAAGCGGAGCGAGCTGATGTGCTCACGACCGCCTCCTGCGTTCACAGCATGGAGTGCCTGGCTGGTTTAGGGTTTACGACTTAGGGCTTGGGGTTTCGGGTTTAGGGTTCAGGGTTTAGGGTTCAGGGTTTAGAGTTCAGGGTTTAGGGTTTAGGGTTCAGGGCTTAGAGTTCAGGGTTTAGGGTTTAGGGTTCAGGGCTTAGGGTTTAGGTCAAGAAAGGCTTTTGCAGAAACCAAGGGGCGCCCCCAAGTTCCTGAAACCTAGGTTTTGACTCAAGTATGATTGTAGTAGATTAGACGATCTTGTTGTCTAGAGCCTTGCAGAAGGGTCCTCATTATAAATAGAAGCCTTGTGACAGGATCCTTATTCTAAATCCGTCATAGGAGCCTTATAGAAGGTCTATATACCTTATAGAAGCCTCATAGAAGTCCTATATACCCTAAACTTCCCACCTGTAGTTTCGTTTAACGAAAGCACACCTCAAGCTGAGGAGCTTTTGTTTTGAAGTCTCCGCAGATAGCCAGGGCTTGGAGTCCGAAGGGGCCGTCGCTGCGGCCGAGGAGGCCGTGGGACTTTGCCGCCGCCTCGGGGACAAGAGGAGGCGGGTTTTTGGGGGGGCTTGGATGGGATTTTGGGGTGGATGGGTGGTTTTTGGGGGTTTTGGGTTCTGGGGTTCTGGGGGTTTCGGCTTTTGGTGTTTGGGGTTGAGGGCTTCCGCTTCCGAGTTGAGCAGGTTTTCGAATTTCGGGCGAGTGATGGTTGTTACGGGCCAATTCTAGGCTGGCTTCCTCAAGTTTGGTAAGGTGTTTGTGGAGTTCCCGTCGCTCGACTCGAAGATTCTCACCAAAGCCTTGAAGCATTTTACATCCCAACCCCGGGCTGTAAACACCGAGCCCGCATTCCAAACTTGAACCCTAAAACTTCGAGCCCCTGATCCTGTCTGCAGCAGTCAGAAGCAGACGGCATCGGAAACCGATCTCCGGGCATCAAGCTCTGGACGCCGAAATGCCCCAACCCCCAACTCCTCGAAGCGCTGAAGCGTCAGCTACAACTTCGTCAAGCCCCTCAGTTTCACGGTGCGACCTCTGCTCGCCTAGTCCTCCAGCTCACGGGCGCATAGACAGGCTCGCTGCTGCCCTCCATGCCTTGGCGGAGGGATTGCTCCTGAAGCAGGACTATGGCCAGGCTCCAGCACCGCCCCGCCAGCCCTCCCAGCCCGACAGCTTCCGCCTTAAACCCCCACGCCCCGAAGCCCCGGAACCCCAAGACAGCCTAGAATCACTCACTCCCGGAAGGGACCTCCAAACCCCAAACCCTAAACCCTGAACCCCTAAACCCTAAACCCTAAACGCAAACCCTAAACCCGAAACCCTAAACCCCAAACCGCCCGAAACCCTCCGGAGCCCCCAAACCCGAACGAAGGCCGTGGACACGGCGGAGGAGGCCCTGCAGGTTTCCGGCCTGGATCCACAGCTCCAGGTGCCCTTGGAAGCTTCGGTTTCGGGTTTCGGGTTTCGGGTTTAGGGTTTAGGGTTTAGGGTTTAGGGTTTAGGGTTAAGGGTTTAGGGTTTAGGGTTTTGGGGGTGCCCTTTGAAGCTTCGGCTTTTTGGCGTAGGAAAAAA